CACAACTATTGTAGAGAGCCACTTCTGCGACGCTGAGGTTCACCAATAAACTCGCTAATCGACTTGCGTTAGCCAGAAAACTATTGACTTTCTGAGTCAAAAAAGCGTGATTATTGGGCCCAGATCCAAAAGTAAAGGCTATTTAAATACAACTGCGCGGTGGCATATTCCTTCTTCATAGCGATGAGCGTAATTTTGTTAACTTGAACTCTTGCCTTTCCTTCATCAACGACTGATTGACAAGCTTTGGCCATATTTGACTGAAATACTGCCAAGGTATTGAATCAGTGAAGGTGCGTTAAGGTTGTGAGGCTTATATTTTAGTTGAGTGTCTCCCAAACCGAAGACCACAACCTGGATGTCTGAGAAAGATGATTTTATATATATTTATATATATATATATATATATATATATATATATTTTATTGATGATTCATATCTTGAGAAAGCAGACCTAACATGGCTTTCCGAAAGATCAAATGAACTGAGCACAGTGGGTTTGCACTTCAAGAGCCTGGACTTTACTATATCTCTGGCAAACTCTTGTCATTTTGAACGATACATTTTCAATGCCGGGTACGGTTCTAGGAGGTTCGAAACCGATGAGATTCCACGGTCCGATCATGGATACAATTATTCCAAAGATAGGATCGAATTTAACTTTCGAATCATTATGAAGCATTTCCATCTGTTTTGTTCGTGACTGACCTGTAAACTAGCTTTATATAGCTAAGTGTCAGCCACATTAATAAAGTGTGTATGTATGTATGTAAACAACTTTAATTGAGACAGTGTAGTTTATAAATATTTTAAGAGGTCATTTATTTAAGAACCTAAAACACCGCAAGAATATGTAATTGATAATATCTTAAAGTTTCTTGTCAATATCTTTTTGTCTAAGAGTAACATCTCGTCCAAAAGCATAGGGGATGTAAATATTTTGACCGGCCGCAGAGTACGGAACCTTAATTCTGAACGATTCCTGGCGATTAGCGATTACTTGAATAAAGATTTGTATAACTGACGTCACGCAGTCACGAGCACCTTAGGTTATTTGCGTGACGTTCAATATCCTTTTGTTTTGTTTTGTGTGACATACCTTCGAACTGTCGGCATTATGTTTCATTCGGCCGCGAGACACGGGTTAGTCGCAAGCACAAGCAGATCGAAGGATTGTCTAAATACTAGAAAAAATAGAACAGGGAAAGAGGTATGTCATCTTATTTATTCTTGTATTTATAAACCGAAAGGCGTCTAATCGAAAGTAGTTTTGTTTCGCTTTAGATATATATGTTGTTTTGATTTATCTACATGCACGCCCCGCGTTCGAGTTTAGGACATTTCGATTAGCGTTTATTGTATGGTAGTAGGCTATTTTAATTTATTGTATTTGAGTTTTCACGAGCTTTCCAGTGATTAATAAAACAGTTGAATCTGATAGACGCTTGGAGGTTTTATTTCCCCGACGCGGCGTTGTTCAAGTTTGATTTATGTCAGCGTCCGCCCCATTACAGTCTGTCTGCGGCTCATTTCGCTTTTCCGATGCATATTTTAAATGCTGACGTTCTCAGTTCGATCCTCTTTTCCTGATGCAAATCAAAACTAGCTAACATTATTAATACGGAAAAACTGCTCGTATGCTTACAATTTGCTTACATTGGCAGATTTTTTTTTAAAACACAGATTGACCAACTTCCCGAGGAAATGCACTCTATGGCGCTGGCAAAAAACTCCTTGGATGATGCTTTTGATCTTGCGAGGACAGCAAGAGCCATGAATATCAGCACAACATTAAAGCATTGATAAAGGGACCGGTGATTATTACCGCCGGATGGGAAGGGGGTTAAATTTACCAGATCCCCCCATAAGGCTTTGTTGATATTCCTCACTGGCTGTTAAATGGCAGTTTATTTTCTTTAGTCCCCTTAATAATGTGTTTGCGACCACTGATTCCCTTTCCGTTCCCTTTGCAAACATTGTGATTCCCCCCAGTTATACTCCTCTCCTCCCCCAGGCAATAGAGGGGTGGGAGTGGGGGTTACTGGGTCCCTTAGGAGTACACTTACTATTCCCAAACACCTGGGGATGTCAGCCGGGATAACAAGCACTCTATTACAGTACTGCAGAGTAGGAAAAAAATCCTGGTCATGGAAGCTTACTTGTGGGAGTCTCATGTATTGTCTGTTGTTTCTTTATTGGCACCATTTAAGATCTAAGACTTAAGTTACAATGTTATGCATCTGACACAGACAAACCAGGTGCACCCTTTGAGATCCATTTAACTTCTCTCAACTATAGAGCTGAATTCTGAAAAATAAAACAGGAAATCAATTCCAATTGCTGTATTTTGTATCCTACAAAAGATTCATTCCTGATCTTCTATACCGTCCATAATACAACTGATAGGTAATGATCAGAATCCTCTCTTTCCCCTGTTTCTGCACAAGTTATGAGAATACATAGTACTGTGATAACTCGTTTTGATAGCCTAAATCGTCTTCCTTTCACAAAGTAGTTGTTAATAAAAGGAAACACTGTAGTCTAATAACTTGACCACCCCTTAGTTACAGAGAAACACTTCTAGTTTCACATTCAGATAATTAAGACTTGATATTCCAACTTAACCTTGAACAGTGAAGAGGTGATATTTTGATATTGGAAGTGAAAGGACTAATGCAATCCAAGTGTTCACATAATATAACCTCATATCTTACCTTCTTTGTATGCAAATCTTAAAACTGTGTATATTAATCCATGAAACTTATTTACATTGACTTAAAACTATAAAAAGTACTACACTGTATTTATATTTGGTTTTTACTTTTAAACTAAGGTGCTTTGCGTAGCTAAGAGTAAACTTAACCCTTTAACTCCAAAGATATCACTGTTAATTCTCCCCTCTGGCTGCTACACATTTCCTTGTAAATTGATTACCAGAATTTGGTGTTAGATCAAGATAACAACTTAATGTATTGATATTATGGGGAGAAGTTACATGTGAAGCACTTCTGAGAGTTAAAGGGTTAATGTAAAAATATCACAATGTGAGGGAATTTAATTTATAAGTATTTTAAAAGGAACATAAGATATCCCTCTCCAGGATTTTAATACAAATAATATTAGAGAATAAATAGGGAAAAACTGAAATTATTGATTTTTCAAAGTTTTTATGTGTTAGAAATACTTGAGTAAAATACTCCTTTTTCACTTGTATTGTTTTCCTGTTTCCTGATGATGCACCTGCCATCTTTTAACCTTTTACATCTGTACATTGGTATTTATATTCTTCACACTGTTCTCTGTATATTTCCTATGGTGATGACAAGGAGAATTTGTGTGGCAATCAGAGGCTTCTTGAATTGGTGATCATTTTCGCTATTTTCATCATCTTTATTTATTGAAGTTGATACTGTAAGGAGAAATTAGATGCTAGCCCCTCTAAGGTGTCAAAAGATTAAACATGAGTATTAGCAATTACAAAAATTGCAATGAACGAATTAATGTGCAGACAGCAGACAAAACCTGTCACAACACAAAGTTAACAATTTACTATTAAAAACATCTTTGATTAAAATTTGTTTCACCCTTAAAATACCTTGTTACCTAAAACTACCAATTAAAATACATGAATTGGTTGTTTCCCTCTCCTGTACCATTTCCCCTTCCTGAATTTGATGCCTGAAGTTTTGAATGAATCCTACGGTTCAGACATCTTCACCAAACTCTAAGCAGGAAAAAATATGGCAAGGAAATCAAGACTACACATTAAAAAAGGAATCTTTTCAACGTTTTCTGTGTCTCTCAGGTTGTTAACTCTCCAAGCCTCAAGAGGGACCATCTTTGTTTCCTCCTTACAGTGATACTGCTGAGTCATTAATTAAGATCATGAGAATAAAGGCAACGATTGTCAACCTAAGAAGCTTTGATTGTTAAATGAATTCTCCTCATCAATGCTACATGAAATGTAAAGAGAAGAGTATGGAGAGTATGGATACTGATGTTAGGGTGTAAAGGGTGAATAGACTCTAATTAATGGTTGCTAATTTATCATCTTGCTTATGATCTCGTGTACGTCATTTCCTCGATACTGTTATCCTCAACAAGCATAATTTTGTCATAGGGTATGTGTTTTACGTTGTTTCAGGCAGCACTTTATAAGCCTCTCCGACTCTGAGTTTAGATTACAGCAGTTGAAGTATTGGTTTGGTAAAGAGCATTTAAAGCACTGATTACAGTAGAAGCGATATCCGCAGTAGTACAAGACTTGTTTGACAAAGAAAACTCGATAAAACAGGTGTTGAAAATTTGATCTGACTCCGTTCATATTTGATACTAAATGAAGAAACTATACTTGAGATGTTGATAAATGTTCAAGAACTTGTCTGTTGTGCCTTATTATTTTCGGTCAGCGGTATAATGATATACCTCCGCTGTGCATTCTTCTACAAGGGCAGGTTTTGAATAATATCGCTTTTGCGTTTATAGTCAGCATGTCTGCAAAATGCTTGGTTATTGGCGGTTCTTTTTTCTTCATCCTGCTGATCGTTACCTTTGCGTCTATTTCGTTCTCTTTTCAAGGTTCCGCTGGCGTTTTGTGCAATTCATACTTCTTCCCTCATAACACAAAAACTTTGTCGTTCGTAAGCATCCCGGAAGTGGTTTGCCATCTCTCTACGCCGTGGTTTGCAAATACATCCAGATATTACCATCGTCCTTCGCTGGAATCATTTCTGCAAGCATCGAAAACTGAAGCGGACCAAGATCTTCGCTTGAGTGGCTTAGCAGTGGTTTCCAGACTGGCCAATGCACGTCAACCTCTGGTTGACGTAAGCAAGTCAAGAATACATGTCGACAAAATCGCTCTCGTCACGCTTAAGGATGACACAGCGGCATTTTCGTGTGGAGATCTAGCACTTAATGCACAGAACGCTGGATACTCTGTGGTGACATATTTTGGCAGCGGACATTGTGAATCAGATGGAGATGTAACAAAACCTCATATGCAAGAAGAGATATTGATTCCCTTTGTGTTTGTTGAGAACTGTCAGAATCAAACCACTTCAGAATCTCTCTACCCTGTTGATGACGATCACTTACTCAAGGCTGTAGACAAAACAGCTGTAAATTTTATTGTAACTGATGAACAAGGGTCTGATGAGCTCAGCAACATGGCAGAATACCTAAAGAGACTTTATTACTGGTTCCTTTTGGGTCCAATTATCACGCTCGAATGGCTGAGACGAAAGAAGAAACTCTGTTGTGTGACGATATCACAACAAGTCCATGAGGAATCTGCAGCTGACAACGAGGAAAATGCGCGGTTAGTCCCAAGAGTCGAGGAGAGTCAGGAACAGAACATACAAGACATCACCGGCGGGGAAATTGAAAGTGAGACTCAACCTCTAATCACTACAGCAGACACAGACACTGATATAACAACAATTAACCACATGGGCAGAATTATAGTTCGTGTGACAAGGATATTTGGAATCCGTTACCTCGCAGTTTGTCTTGGTTACGTGCTTCTCACTCTGGCAGCGCTCCCTGTAGGTATATCAAGTGGGGGATGGTCTTTTTTCCGATTTGATGAACAAGAAAGAAATAAGCAAAAAAACTTTTGGAACTCTATTCTACCCGACAACAGCACTAAATTCCCCCTAGGAAAAGCACGTCGGGTTTCATGTATTCTCACTTTTTGGTGGTCAGCTTTTCAAATCTTTTGTTTTTTCATTTACAGTAGGTTTAATTGTGCGAGTACTTGGACCGTTTTGACAAACGGTTCAAAGTTGATTCGAAGTGACTGGTTTTCATCCAACATGTATTTGCTCTTATTATGTGCAATCGTGCCATACTGTTCCCTCGGACCTATTTCTTCGCAGTTTCTCTTTTTTATGGTTTACAATATGATGTGCACAGTCTCCAATTTTCTTTTCATTATCATCCTCAACAAACACAAAGTTGTCACAAGGTATGTGTTGTACATCAGTGTGTGTATGACCTGTGCTTATGTTGAAAGTGACATAGTAGCTGTGTTTTATTTCATCCTTAATTCTCAAGGCTCCCTGAACAAGTTAAAACTCACAGCTCTTCGCACTGCAGCACTTGGCCTCACTTTGACCCTGAGTTTCAGTTCTTCAATGCACATAATCCGCAAACTTATGAAGCCACAGGAGTCTGTGTTTGAGGGACTGGGAGAGAGGTGAATTGTCACGTTTACCATCCTCCTTCAAGATCTGGGCCCAGTTGTTCGAAGACCAATTAGCGCTAACCCAAGGTTAAATTGAAATCTTGGTTTCTTTATTCCTTTATTCAAAATACTTTTTGGGATAATTTTCTGCGTTCCTTTTAGAGCATCAAATAGTCATATTCTAGACAAAAATTATTCGACTGAATTTTCTTCTAAAGCTTTCAGATCTGAAATCAGTTTCACACTAACCCTGGGTTATCTTAACCCAGCTTTGAACAACCCGGCCCTGGTTTTAAAATTAAATGTGCGTCACAACCAAGGTGCAACAATAACGAGATTTAATAGTAAGCTAGTCAAAAGTTTGGGTCTAATTTTTCAGAAAAATGAAATGTTTGGAAAAGCTTGCCATCAGGTAATACAGCCTTCTTCTCACAGAATTGTTTAGAGAAAGTGTAAAATCATCTCATTGTTTAATATTGCCGATTGTACTTTGGATCTCGATGCGAAATGATCAAAACAGGAAAAAAAAGTAGTGCAACAAATGTAATAAAACTAAGCCAAAAAAAAGACAAAAATTAAAAAAAAAAAAAAAAGGAAATTACTGCAAAGTTTAAGCAGAGTATTACTTGACTTCCATTACAAAAAGAATGAAAAAGCCAGGGTAGAAACGTTATCAGTTCGATTAAAGGTCAATATTGACGGTGGGACCTTCATCTTCGACAAACATCAAACACTCTAACCCATAGGTGTTACCAACCTAGAAATCTATATAGTTCTTATGTCTTAGGATCGTGAGAAATTATAACGGAAGATTAATGTTCTTCTTAAATGACAGCTGCTGTTCTTCAATAAGAGTTCCTCATTTTCTTAGATCAAATCTTGATTAGTTTTAATTTTTTGCCTGTGACTTTTGTTACCGATACTTTTCCTATAGGTGCATTATACTGTTGCACGATCGAAATATACAGAGAACTTGTTAAATTAGACAAAACACTATTTGATTATTGCACATAATTGTGTAAACTTTTAAATACTGTGTTGTCATCACAGTAAGGTCAAAGACTAAATTGACTGGGGGTCCTTCGTCTTCTACAGGATTAAATGATCAATTGATTTTTGTCCGCGATTTTTATGCTAGTTATATTTTCATTATAAAATACACAAAGAGCTTGTAAACATACTAGAGTAGTATAATTAGATCATTTCACAGAACTGTATAAATGAAAACCTTAAAAAAATTGCACATGTATAAACTTGCTGTATTCATCATTGGGTTTACCAGAAACTGGTATTAACAAGAAGGGACGCAACGTTAAAGAAATTTATCTACGTAACTCTGTGCGTTTCCCTACTTTGTTTGTAAAATTATTAACTTTTATCGCAAATAATACGAATTATAACGGCAGCTTTTTGGAATAACAATATTTTAGGATACAGTACTGATATTAAAGCCCCCAGTGATTAAAAATACATTTCTTGTTCGTTTGAGTAAAATGGGGTTATGTGTTTTTGTATTGAGAGAAATCTAAGCAGTTCCGGAATGATTTGTTGTTGCTCGATGACATCTCAGTGTGTCACAGAATTATGATGTTATTCGCCCTTGCTAAGCGATTTTTTCCCGAGTTATCACCCAACAGTTCTGTCCGAATACAGACGGCGAATAAATGGCAGGTTAGAAATTTCTGATACAAAGAAAAAAAAATTCCAATTCGTGATGCAGTAACTCGGTGAAACGATGAACCTGCGAAAAATTCCGGCGAACTGCGTGAGACATCATAGATATTGTCTTGCAAAAGAGTTAAGTGTAGGGTAACTAAAACAATTACTATTACATTCAATCAAAATTTCAGTCGTGATTTCTACTATAAATAATATGTTGTTGCTGTGTAGGTATGATTACTTGATTCTCCTTTGTAGACAGAAAAAGGTACATCACTGCAGTGCAGCTTGCATTTTAAGCATTACTTGCTAGTTCTCCCAATGAACACGTAGCATCTCTTTTTTGCAACTTGATATTTTCAAATTTGTTGACTTGAATTTTTTGACCTACTCAAATCACTAAAAAGGATGATAAGTATCGGCCCCATTCGGAAATACTGAGGGTCTCGAGGACTTCCTTAGCTGTCGACCTTTAAAGAAAAGACTTCAATATAGAGGGGATTTAAATCGATCAACGGTGGAAATAGAACTTCCAATTCTTAGCAGGCTTTCGTATGATCGGCCTGGATACAGTGACCATTTCAAATAACTTGCCAGGCGGTAAGCAACGAAGAGAGGCTCGATAACAAGACCGGTTGTGAAATCAACACAGCCTAAAGCGATGATGAGATACGAAGCTGGTGTAAGGAAACATTTGAGAGGATCTTTGTAAATAGTCAGTAATAACAGGAGGTTACTAATAACTGTTATCGGCGACAGAATCACCAGGGAGATCCCTGTGGCGAGCTGGGTGAACAGATAAAACCTTACATCGATCGAAGGAGAATTTGATGTTGTGCTGATATTCATGCCTCTTGATGTCTTCACAGGATCAACACTGAGCGTCGTCCAAGGAAATCTTTTAAGCTAACGCCTGCATAAGCTGCATTTCTTTGGGATGTTGGTCGATCTGTCGAGTTTTAAAACAATTGTGCTTCTTTTAATTCGCAAATTGTAAGCTTACGTAAAGTACTTCTGTGCCTGTAATGTGAGCTATGTTTGAATTGCATCGGGAAAAGCGGATGGACCGGAAGACGGCAGCACTTAAAATATGCATCGAAAAAGGGATATGAACCGCAGACAGACAACATTAAGTGTTCGTGACTGCGTGACGTCAATTATTTGAATCTTTCCATACTCTGAGGGCAGAGTTTATTTTACTCTTACACACAAAGATAATTACACATTCTTGAGGTGTTTTAATTTAATCTAATGAATACGATTGCAGTGAATAAATTGCAATGGATCAGGAGACGGCAGCATTTAAAATATGCCTCGGAAAAGCGAAATGAACCGCAGACACACAACATTAAGTGTTGGTGACTGCGTGACGTCAGTTATATAGATCTTTATTCGATCGTTCTTGAATAAGATTCCGTATTTTTAGGACAGCCAGACTATTATGATTTTATTTTACTCTTACACACAAAGCCAAATAATTCTAAGCAGCGGCTCTTACATCCGTCAAATTACCTTGAGAATTCAGTGCAAAGTAATATACTGCCACTACGGACCATTTTTAAATGACTCAGCAGTATCTCTGTAAGGAGGAATCAAAGATGGTTGCTCTCGAGGTTTGGAGAGTTAACAACCTGAGAGACACGGTTTTCAGCGAAACAATTCCTTTTCAATGTGTTTAGTCTTGATTTCCTTGCCTCGTTTTTTACGACTTAGAGTTTGGTGATGTTGTCTGAACTGTGGGATTCATTCAAAACTTCAAGTATCAAATTCAGGCAGTGGAAATAGTACAAGGGAAGGAAACAACCAATTGCTGTATTTTAATTGGTAGTTTTAAGTAAAAAAGCATTTTAAGGGTAAAAAAAATTGTAATCAAAAGATGTTTTGACTTTAATTGTGACAGGTTTTGTCTGTTGTCTGCACAATAATTCGTTCATTCTATTGACTGCAGTTTATGTAATTGTCAATACTCATGTTCAATCCTTTGACACCTAAGAATGACTAGGATCTAATTTCTCCTTACAGTATCAACTTCAACAAATAAAGATGATGAAAATGAAGGAAATGATCACCAATTCAAGAAGCCTCTGATTGCCACACAAATTCTCCTTGTCATAACCATAGGAAATATAAAGAGAAAAGTGTGGAGAAAATGAATACCAATTTAAAGATGTAAAGGGTTTTTAATTTGTATCAGCTTTGAAAAGTTTGCATGACCCCTCTAGGTAGCCTCTCAGGCGAACCGACTTTACGTAAGGAAACAAAATACTTGAAGAGGCGACCACCACAGACAAATTTAGAAATGCTTTTCCTTTCGGTTCAGGTCTGAATCTCTTCACTTTTATCAAATCAAAAGTAGGACAATCCTCCGCTGAATATTTCTACCGGATCGCTGTTACAACGATATATATATATATATATTTTATTGATGATTCATATCTTGAGAAAACAGACCCAACTTGGCTTTCCAAAAGATCAAATGAACTGAGCACAGTGGGTTTGTACTTCAAGAGCCTGAACTTTACTATATCTCTGGCAAACTCTTGTCATTTTGAACGATACATTTTCAATGCCGGGTACGTACGGTTCTAGGAGGTTCGAAACCGATGAGATTCCACGGTCCGATCATGGATACAATTATTCCAAAGATAGGATCGAATTTAACTTTCGAATCATTATGAAGCATTTCCATCTGTTTTGTTGGTGACTGACCTGTAAGCTGGCTTTATATAGCTAAGTGTCAGCCACGTTAATAAAGTATGTATGTATGTATGTAAACAACCTAAATTGAGACAGTGTAGTTTATAAATATTTTAAGAGGTCATTTATTTAAGAACCTAAAACACCGCAAGAATATGTAATTGATAATATCTTAAAGTTTCTTGTCAATATCTTTGTGTCTAAGAGTAACATCTCGTCCAAAAGGATAGGGGATGTAAATATTTTGACCGGCCGCAGAGTACGGAACCTTAATTCTGAACGATTCCTGGCGATTAGCGATTACTTGAATAAAGATTTGTATAACTGACGTCACGCAGTCACGAACACCTTAGGTTATTTGCGTGACGTTCAATATCCTTTTGTTTTGTTTTGTGTGACATACCTTCGAACTGTCGGCATTATGTTTCATTCGGCCGCGAGACACGGGTTAGTTGCAAGCACAAGCAGATCGAAGGATTGTCTAAATACTAGGAAAAATAGAACAGGGAAAGAGGTATGTCATCTTATTTATTCTTGTATTTATAAACCGAAAGGCGTCTAATCGAAGGTAGTTTTGTTTCGCTTTAGATATATATGTTGTTTTGATTTACCTACATGCACGCCCCGCGTTCGAGTTTAGGACATTTCGATTAGCGTTTATTGTATGGTAGTGGGCTATTTTAATTTATTGTATTTGAGTTTTCACGAGCTTTCCAGTGATTAATAAACCAGTTGAATCTGATAGACGCTTGGAGGTTTTATTTCCCCGACGCGGCGTTGTTCAAGTTTGATTTATGTCAGCGTCCGCCCCATTACAGTCTGTCTGCGGCTCATTTCGCTTTTCCGATGCATATTTTAAATGCTGACGTTCTCAGTTCGATCCTCTTTTCCTGATGCAAATCAAAACTAGCTAACATTATTAATACGGAAAAACTGCTCGTATGCTTACAATTTGCTTACATTGGCAGATTTTTTTTTAAAACACAGATTGACCAACTTCCCGAGGAAATGCACTCTATGGCGCTGGCAAAAAACTCCTTGGATGATGCTTTTGATCTTGCGAGGACAGCAAGAGCCATGAATATCAGCACAACATTAAAGCATTGATAAAGGGACCGGTGATTATTACCGCCGGATGGGAAGGGGGTTAAATTTACCAGATCCCCCCATAAGGCTTTGTTGATATTCCTCACTGGCTGTTAAATGGCAGTTTATTTTCTTTAGTCCCCTTAATACTGTGTTTGCGACCACTGATTCCCTTTCCGTTCCCTTTGCAAACATTGTGATTCCCCCCAGTTATACTCCTCTCCTCCCCCAGGCAATAGAGGGGTGGGAGTGGGGGTTACTGGGTCCCTTAGGAGTACACTTAAACCTGGGGATGTCAGCCGGGATAACAAGCACTCTATTACAGTACTGCAGAGTAGGAAAAAAATCCTGGCCATGGAAGCTTACTTGTGGGAGTCTCATGTATTGTCTGTTGTTTCTTTATTGGCACCATTTAAGGTCTAAGACTAAAGTTACAATGTTATGCATCTGACACAGACAAACCAGGTGCACCCTTTGAGATCCATTTAACCTCTCTCAACTATAGAGCTGAATTCTGAAAAATAAAACAGGAAATCAATTCCAATTGCTGTATTTTGTATCCTACAAAGGATTCATTCCTGATCTTCTACACCATCCATAATACAACTGATAGGTAATGATCAGAATCCTCTCTTTCCCCTATTTCTGCACAAGTTATGAGAATATATAGTACTGTGATAACTCGTTTTGATAGCCTAAATCGTCTTCCTTTCACAAAGTAGTTGTTAATAAAAGGAAACACTGTATTCTAATAACTTTGACACCTCTTAGTTACAGAGAAACTTTTCTAGTTTCACATTCAGATAATTAAGACTTGATATTCCAACTTAACCTTGAACAGTGAAGAGGTGATATTTTGATATTGGGAGTGAAAGGGTTAATGCAATCAAAGTGTTCATATAATATAACTTCACCTCTTACCTTCTTTGTATGCAAATCTTAAAACTGTCTATATTAATCCATGAAACTTATTTACATTGACTTAAAACTATAAAAAGTACTAAACTGTATTTATATTTGGTTTTACTTTTAAACTAAGGTGCTTTGCATAGCTAAGAGTAAACTTAACCCTTTAACTCCTAAGATCTGATTGTTAATTCTCCCCTCTGGCTGCTACACATTTCCTTGTAAATTGGTTACCAGAATTTGGTGTTAGATCAAGATAACAACTTAATGTATTGATATTATGGGGAGAAGTTACATGTTAATCACTTCTGAGAGTTAAAGGGTTAATGTAAAAATATCACAATTTGAGGGAATTTAATTTATAAGTATTTTAAAAGGAACATATGATGTCCCTCTCCAAGATTTTAATACAAATAATATTAGAGAATAAATAGGGAAAAACTGAAATTATTGATTTTTGAATTTTTCCTTTGTTAGAAATACTTGTGTAAAATACTCCTTTTTCACTTGTATTGTTTTCCTGTTTCCTAATGATGCACTTGCCATCTTTTAACCTTTTACATCTGTACATTGGTGTTCATATTTTCCACACTGTTCTCTGTATATTTCCTATGGTAATGACAAGGAGAATTTATGTGGCAATCATAAACTTCTTGAATTGGTAATCATTTTCGTTATTTTCATCATCTTTATTTGTTGAGGTTGATACTGTAAGGAGAAATTAGATGCTAGTTGCTCTTAGATGTCAAAGGATTAAACATAAGTATTAGCAATTACATAAACTGCAATGAACGAATTAATGTGCAGACGGCAGACAAAACCTGTCACAACACAAAGTTAACACGTTTACAATTAAAAACATCTTTTGATTAAAATTTGTTTCACCCTTAAAATGCCTTGTTGCCTAAATCTTCCAGTTAAAATACACTAATTGGTGGTTTCCTTCTCCTGTACCATTTCCACTCCCGGAATTTGATGCTTGTAGTTTTGGATGAATCCCACAGTTCAGGCAACATCACCAAACTTCAAGCAGGAAAAAATAAGGCAAGGAAATTAAGACTAAACACTTTAAAAACTAATAGTTTCAATGAAAACCGTGTCTCTTAGGTTGTTAACTCTCCAAACCTCAAGAGGGATCATCTTTGATTCCTCCTTACAGTGATACTGCTGAGTCATTAATTACGATCATGAGGATAAAGGAAATGATTGTCAACCTAAGAAGTTTTGATTGTTAGATGAATTCTCCTTATCAATACCAAAGGGAATGTAAAGAGAACAGTATGGAGAGTATGGATACTGATGTTAGGGTGTAAAGGGTCAATAGACTCTAATTAATGGTTGTTAAGTTGTAATCTTGCTTTTGATTTCGTGCACGTCATTTCTTCGGCACTATTATCCTCCACATGCATAATTTTGTCGCAGGGTATGTGTTTTACATTGTTTTAGGCAGCACTTAATAAGCCTCACTCCGACTCTGAGTGTAGAATACAGCAGCTAACGTATTGTTTTTGTACAGAGTATTTGAAGCACTGATTACAGTGGAAGCGATATCCACAGTAGAACAATACTTTTTTGGACAAAGAAAACTCGATAAAATAGGAGTTGAAAATTTGATACTAAATGAAAAAGCTATACTTGAGATGTTGATAAATGTTCAAGAACTTGTCTGTTGTGCCTTATTATTTTCGGTCAGCGGTACAATGATGGTCCTACGCTGTGCATTCCTCTACAAGGGCAGGTTTTGACTAAGATCGCTTTTGCGTTGATAGCCAGCATGTCTGCAAAATTCTTGATTATTGGCGGCTCTTTTTTCCTCATCCTGCTGAACCTTGTCTCAGCTTATGTCTTGTTCTTTCTTCGACCTCAGCCTCCCGTTTCCTGCAATTCACACTTCCAATCTGGCAGAACAACTTTGTCGTTCGCAAGCGTTCCGAAAGTGGTTTGCCAACCCTCTCCGCCATGGTTTCCAAATGGAGGTGATTATCGTCCTACGCTGGAACAGTTTCTGCAAGAATCGAAAGCTGATGCGGACCAAGATCTTCGTTTGAGTGGCTTAGCAGTGGTTTCCAAACTGACCAATGTACGTCAACCTCTAGTTGATGTAAGCAAGTCAAGAATACACGTCGACAAAATCGCTCTCGTCACGCTTAAGAATCATAGAGGGGCATTTTCGTGTGGAGATCTAGCACTTAATGCACAGAACGCTGGATACTCTGTGGTGACATATTTTGGCGACGGATATTGTGGACCAGATGGAAATGTATCAAAACCTCATACGCAAGAGGAGATATTGATTCCCATTGTGTTTGTTAACCTCTGTATCAATTGCACCAGTTCACACTCTTTCCACTGGTTAAATAACTATGATTTTCTTACAGCTACAGACAAAACATTTGTAAATATCATAGAAACTCAACAAGGGTCTGATGAGCTCAGCAAGATGAAAGAATACCGAAAAAGACTTTACTACTGGTTTCTTTTGGGTCCAATTATCACGCTCGAATGGCTCAGACGAAAGAAGAAACTCTGTTGTGTGACGATATCACATCAAGTCGATGAAGAATCTGCAGCAGGAAACGAGGAAAATGTGCGGCTAGTCCCAAGAGTTGACGAGGATCAGGAACAGAACATACAAGACATCACCGGCGAGGAAATTGAAAGTGAGTTACAACCTCTAATCAATACAATATACACAGACACTGATATAACAACATTTGACCACATGGGCAGAATTATAGTTTGTGTGACAAGGCTATTTGGAAGAAGCATCCGTTACCTCGCAGTTGGTCTTGGTTACGTGCTTCTCACTCTGGCAGCGCTTCCTGCAGGTATATCAAGTGGGGGATTATCTTTTTTCCGATTTGATAGTGGAGAATCTGATACTTTCTTAGGTATTCTCACTTTATGGTGGCCATCAATTCAAATCTTTTGTTTTTTCATGTACAGTAGGTTTAATCGTGCGAGCGCTTGGACCGTTTTGACAAACGTTTCAAAGTTGATTCGAAGTCACTGGTTTTCATCCAACATGTATTTGCTCGTTTTGTGCTTCGTTGTACCGTATTGTTCTCTCAGCCAAAGACTATTCTCTGACAGGTTTACGTTTAGCACGTTTTTATATTTAACGGTTTACAATGTAACGTGCACAGTTTGCAATTTTCTTTTTATTATCATCCTCAACAAACACAAAGTTGTCACAAGGTATGTGTTCTACATCAGTGTGTGTATGATCTGTGCTTATGTTGAAAGTGACATAGTAGCTGTGTTTTACTTCATTCTCAATTCGCAAGGCTCCCTGAATAACGTAAAACTCACTGCTCTTCGCACCGTAGCACTTGGCCTCACTTTGACTCTGAGTTTCAGTTCTTCAATGCACATAATCCGTAAAATTATGAAGCCACAGGAGTCTGTGTTTGAGGGACTGGGAGAGAGTTGAATTGTCACGTTTACCATCCTCCTTCAAGATCGGGTTTTAAAATTAAATGTGTGTCATAACCGAGGTGCAACAATTACGGGATTTGATAGTAAGCTAGTCAAAAGTTTGGGTCTAATTTTCCAGAAAAATGAAATGTTTGGAAAAGCTTGTCATCAGGTAATACAGCCTTCTGGTAATACGACGGCTGATTTTGTAAATTTCTGTTTCTAATTTTAAGCTGTGTTCCATACTCAGTTTCGAAACAGTTTTGACAGGAAACAACAAATTAAATTACTCTAGAGTAGTAGGAGATTCGTGGGTAAAATATAAGTTCATTTTTTAATGGCCGTTGTTCACGGCGTCGCCGTAGACGCTTCTTAAAATCTCTACTGTTTGAGAAGCTGTCTTCATGATGCAACTGAGGGATTTTTTAAATTTAGTAGTAGGTGACAGCAACTTTCAGATTCTTTATGATTTTACTGAAATGTGAAAATGATTATTGAGAAAAATAGCACATTTATAAACTTATTGATGAGTAGGTTTCCCTAGGTGAAGATGCTCTATGTGAGACCAGTTGCAATGTGACATGTAACAACACAACATAAGTATTTCTCGTATGTTAGCTTTCGATGGAAATCTTAACAATGCACCGAAATATCACATTTTTTTAAAAGATTGACGTCATCAAATGATTATATCACAACATGGAAAACCAATACGTACTGATCGAGTCCTTTAGTTAAAACGTTTCCTGAAATAGAAATAGAACGTTGTTCTTCATCAATAATCAAAAATTTTGACTTTGTAGGTTTTTCCTATGAAGTTGAAAACATTATAGGAATATTGTGTGTTGGAATCGCTAGAAATGGTGCTTAAGACAAGACTGTGTCTCATAATAATTTTATTTTTCTTTATTCGCATCGTGATATTTTAAATTGTGTGAGTGTTTTATATGATAGCAATGCTTACCAACTTAATAACTGGTATAGGTAATTTTGGTGGAATTGACGTTGGATACGTAAACTTGGTATTATATATTAGCCATGTTTGGGTTTTTCGTCATTTTACTGAATTGTGAATAAGAAAACTGTGAAAATTACACATTTTTAAAGCTATACAGAAGTAGCTTTCATAAAAAATGCTGCAAGACCAGTCGCAGTGTGACAAAAATATTCTATACAACAACCTTTTTCTTTCTCAGTTTGACTTTGAATTGTTAGCTTTTGACTGTAAGTACTAATAATTTAGCGATATGTCATTTATTTCAAGTAATGATTACATTTCAACTTCAATATTGTGTGTTGGAATCGTTAGAAATGGTGTTTTATATGATAGCAATGCTCACCATCTAAATAATTGGTATAGGTAATTTTGGTAGGATATTCATAGGATATGTAAACTTGGTATCATATGGTAGCCCTGTATGGATTTTTCATCATTTCACTCCATTTTGAATATGAAAACCGTGAAAATTACACATTACAAAGTTATGCAGAAGTAGTAAAATGCTGCCAAACCAGTCGAAATGTGACAGGAATATCCTATATAGTAACCTTTTTTCCTCAGTTTGACTTAGAATTGTTAGCTTTTGACTATAAGTCCATATAATTCAGCGAAATGTCATTTATATTTATGACTGATGTTAAGTAATTGTTATATTACAATTAAGTGCTTACTGATTAGGCTTTTTCAGTCAAAAAATGTACCTTTGTTTATTTTGACGTAATTAAAAGGTGTGTGCTCCACTGTCTGTTCTGATACAATTTATTGCACTCCCACCCTTACTGAGTTTTGTTTATGTCTTCAGTCGACGTGAAACATAAAGTGCCAACCCATCTACCATTTCAAGTTTCCAGTCTTTGATATAATGGCACTTAATAAGTTTACACGAACTATTTTCTGCTGATATAATTCTCCAAGAGTAGGCATAATTGTGGCTTTGAGGACATGTGACTAACAACCGAATAAAACTTTTTTATTAAAACTGACGTGCGAGTTAAAAAGGTTGAAAACATGTTTTGACTGAGAGAAGGTGGAAAAAGGAATTCGAAAGAGAGAATTCGGGAGAACTACTTCAAAATGCTATCTGATAACAAACATCTCTTGAACACCATGTTGATATTTTCCAGTTGAGCAGTCGTGTAGATAATAATAAAACATCGGATGATCCAAATTTCAAGAGCTGTTTTTATAATACCGCACCCAGAATCGTAGCCTTTAAATACTCAAGGGCCTTTGAAGACTCAAAAAATATTTAACAGTTTTAATTCAGCTTCAATACTTATATTCTACTTAGAGTCAGATAAAGGAAATAAAGTGTCACGCATTCTGTTAGCACAGAAAAGCAAGGAGCGACTTTGTACACATGTTGAGAAATAGTTTTGTGACAATTAGCTGCTTCTGCTCGCCATGTTAACCACCTCCCAATATAGTTAGAAAACCAGCGATTTCTAGTTGTAATATAGGAGGTATGTTCCTAAAGAAACTGTAGTGCTGAGTCGGTGGAAAGGTATAACAGGGTAATTTAGCATTATCTAATTTAGTATTAAATGTTGCTGAGTGCTGTTGCGGAGATGACTCTGGGGAACAAAGTACTTATTCCATTCGTGTTCGTATTGCTTAGGAGCTAGTGTTTTCTTGGATGGTCAGATCGAAAAAAGCTTGCCTTTATCGATGATTCATATCTTGAGAAGGCAGACTTAACTTAGCTTTCCGAAAGATCCAATGAACTGAGCAAAATGGGTTTGTACTTCAAGAGCCCACACTTAACTATATCTCTGGCAAAACTCTCGTCATTTTTGAAAAGTGATATATTTTCAATGCCGCGTACGGTTCTGGGAGGTTCGAAACCGATAAGATTCCACGCTCTGATTATGGATACAAGTATTTGAAAGGTAGGATTGAATTTAACTTTCGAATCATGTATGAAGCATTTCTATCTGCTTTGTTCGGTCAAATGACCTAAATTGAGACAGTGTAGTTTATAAATATTTACGGTAAGAGGTCATTTATTTAAAAAACTTAAGATCGCAAGAATATATGATTGATAATATCTAAACGTTTCTTGCCAATACCTTTATGTCTAAGAGTAACATTTCGTCCTAAAGAATAGAGGATGTAAATATTTTGACTGGCCGTAGAGTACTGAATCTTAATTCTGAACGATTACTAGCGATCACTTGAGTAAAGATCTGTATAACTGACATCACGCAGTCACGAACACTTTAGGTTGTCTGTCTGAGATTTATTTCGCTTTTCCGATGCATATTTTAAATGCTGACGTTCTCGGTTCGATTCTCTTTTCCTGATGCAAATCAAAATTAGCTAACTAACTAATTGGCTATTAATACGGGAGAACTGTCCGTATGCTTTCAATTTGCTACAAGAGCAGATTTTTTTCAAAACAATTAAGGAAAAGACAGATTGACCAACTTCCCGAGGAAATGTACTCTATGTTGCTAGCAAAAAACTCCCTGGATGATGCTATTGATCCTGCGAAGACAAAAAGAGCCATGAATATCAGCACAACATTAAAACATTGGTAAGGGACCGGTGATTATTACCGCTGGATGAGGAGGGGGTTAAATTTACCAGATCCCCCCATAAGGCTTTTTTGGTTTTCCTCAGTGGCTGTTAAATGGCAGTTTATTTTCTACAGTCCCCTTTATACTGTGTTGGCGATCACTGGTCCCTTTTCCTTTCCCATTGCAAACATTGATAATACCCCCCGATAATACTCCCGATAATACTCCCGACAATACCCCCGATAATACCCCCGATAATACCCCCGATAATACCCTCGATAATACCCCTTCCCCCAGGAAATGTAGAGGGGGGAGGGGGAGTGGAGGTTATTGGTCCCTAAAGGAGTACACTTACTATTTTCAAAAACCTTAGGATGTCAGCCGGGATAACAAGCATTCTATTACAGTACTGTGACTGTTCCCTTATCAAATAGTAACTGCAGAGTAGGAAAAAAACTCCCGCTCATGGGAAGCTTACTTGAGGGAGTCTCATGTGTTGTCAGTTGTTTCTTTATTGGCACTATTAAAGGTTACAAACTAAAGTTACATTGTTATGTATCTGACACAGAGAAACCAGGTGCACCCTTTGAAATCCATTCGACCTCCTTAACTAAAAAGCTGAATTCTGAGAAATAAAACAGGAAATCAATTCCAATAGTTGTATTTGTATCCTACAAAAGATTCATTCCTGATCTGCATATACCGTCCATGATATATTTGATAGGTAACAATCAGAATCCTCTCTTTCCCCTGTTTCTGCACAAGTTATGAGAATACATGGTACTACGATAACTCGTTTTAATAACCTAAATGGTGTTTCTTTCACAAAGCAGTCGTTAAAAAAAGGGAACACTATAGTTTATAAACCCCTACCAATAACTTTAACACCTCTTAGCTACAGAGACACACTTCTAGTTTCACATTCAAATAATTCGGACTCGATATTCAAACTTCACCTCAAACAGTGAACAGGAAGTGATATTTTGATATTGGGAGTGAAAGGGTTAATGCAATCAAAGTGTTCACATAATATAACTTCACCATTTTCCTCCTTGATTGGTATGTAAATCTCAGAACTGGCTATAATTGATGAAACTTATTTACATTGACTGAAAACTATAAAAACTACTACACTGTATTTATATTTGGGTTTTTTCTTTTAAACTAAGGTGCTCTGCGTAGCTAAGAGTAAACTTAACCCTTTAACTCTCAAGATCTGAATGTAATTCTCCCCTCTTGCTGCTACAAATTTCCTTATAAATTGGTCAACAGAATTTGATGTCTGATCAAGATAACGACTTTAACCAGATACGTTTATGTATTCTCAGTACCTGTTTGCTGGATAATGTATTGATATTATGGGGGAGAAGTTACATGTGAAGCTCTTCTGAGAGTTAAAGGGATAATGTAAAAATATCAGAATGTGAGGGAATTTAATTCATAAGTATTTTAAAAGGTATATGATATCATTATCAAGGATTTAAGAACAAATAATTTTGGGGAATTAATAGGGCAAAACTGAAATTATAAATTTTTTGAAGTTTTTTTATGTCTTAGAAATGCTAGTGCAAAATACTCCTTTTTCACTTGTGTTCTTTTCCTGTTTCCTGATGATGCACCTGCCATCCTTAAACCCTTTACATTGGTATTCATATTCTCCAAACTTTTCTCTTTATATTTCCTATGGTAATGACAAGGAGAATTTGTGTGGCAATCAGAAGCTTCCTAAGTCGTTTCCTTCATTTCATCTTCTTTATTTGTTGAAGTTGATACTGTAAGGAGAAATTAGATGCTAGTCACTCTTAGGTGTCAAAGGATTAAACATGAGTATTGACAATTACATAAACTGTAGTCAATAGAATTAACAAACTAGTGTGCAGAAAACAGACAAAACCTGTCACAACACAAAGTTAACACATGTACAGTTAAATACATCTTTCGATTACAATTTGTTTAACCCCTAAAATGCCTTCTTACCTAAAACTTCTAGTTAAAATACACTAATTGGTTGTTTCCTTCCCCTGTACCATTCCTCTCCCTGGATTTAATGCTTGAAGTTTTTAAATGAATCCAACAGTTCAGACAACATCACCAAACTCCAAGCAGGAAAAAATAAGGCAAGGAAATCAAGATTAAGGACATTAAAGAGGAATCGTCTCAATAAAAACCGTGTCTCTCAGGTTGTTAACTCTCCAAGCCTCAAGAGGGACCATCTTTTGATTTGTTAGGGTGTAAAGGGTCCATAGACTCTAATTAATGGTTGCTAATTTATCATCTTGCTTATGATTTCGAGTACGCCATTTCCTCGGTACTGTTATCCTCAACAAGCATAATTTTGTCGCAGAGTATGTGTTTTACGTTGTTTTAACTCTGAGTTTAGATTACAGCAGTTGAATGAAATGAACGGAATTTTTTGTTGCTCAATGACATCTGTGTCACAGAATTATTCGCCCTTGCTAAGCGATTATTTCCCGAGTTAGCACCCAACACTTGTGTCCAAATACAGACGGCGAATAAATAGTGGGTTACAAATTAAGCATTGGGTTAAACATTAATCGCATCTTTTTTTTCAACTTGATCATTTCAAATCTGTTGACTTGACCTACTCAAATCACTAAAGCGGTTGATAAGTATCGGCCACATTCGGAAATACTGAGTGTCTCGAAAAATTCCCTTTCTATCGATCCCTAAAGAAAAGACTCAAAATTTCAATTTCTATACATATTTGTAACCAGTTCAATCAATAATAAAAACACGGGATAAACGTTTACACTGATTTACCAATATTTCTGTTATGATCACCCCGAATATCAGTTTCGCACTTATTATGGTTTCGTAACGTCTTTCGTTTGCATTTAACATCAAGCCAGTTAAGTTATCATCTTCTGACCCGTGAAGTGTGAGGTAAAAGGTTACCACAATAGCCTAAAACAGTTTCCAATCTTCATCTTTCTCAGAGGTAGAATATCGACACGAACCATATTTACTTGCTCTGGTTTCTGTGATTGTTTCTACAGTTGGGGTTTTAGTACAACTGACACACTAACTACAGCACAAGAGCGGATTGCTTGTTTATTGCTGTTACATGTTGGCTTTAATTTATATCAGTCTGCAGTGATTCTTAGTTCTCCGATTTGGTGCAAGTCATAAGTGTCTGGTTATATAATTCTAGATGAAAGAAGTAATGATCAGGCTATGGTTACGATTTCAGTGGCTTCATTTCCAATTTGCTGCCTAGCACGAGTCAACACTAGTTTCAGAGACTTCCTGTAGTATGGCAGTCTCCAAGCGTAAACGAATGCGTCAGAAGCTACCTTAATAAATAACATGTCGTCTGCAATTGTAATGGCAGCGGAGAGATGAAGCGTGTCTTGTGGCGTCTCCAGTTCTGTGTAAAACCAGAAATTAAGTGTAATGATATGAGCAAGTGTGCAAGCTATTAGTATTGCTGATAAAAGCAAAGTTGTCACCGTAAGTTGTCTCAAGCCTTCATCGTCTTCATTTTGGCGAGATTCTTTGGCAAATCGGCGAAGTGACCTCAGAAGTATAGCAGAACCAACGAAAAGCAGGATTGTTATGACTGTGGCATGGAAATGGAGATTTATCTGAAGGAGACTTCTTCGGGAGACTCCAATGAATTGCAGAAGAGTGAAAGCTGTGAAGTACAGCGTCAAGACACCAACAAATACGAGGATCCTGCGCGTTGTAATGGCCGAGCGGTAACGTTGTGGGTGAGTTATGGCAAGGAACTGTGACCAAATGAGAGCGAGAACGAGCAAGAATGACAAGTTGAGGCCTACGATGGAAATAGAAGTTCCAATTCTTAGCAGGCTTTCGTATGATCGGCCTGGATACAGTGACTATTTCAGATAACTTGCCAGGCGGTAAGCAACGAAGAGAGGCTCGATAACAAGACCGGTTGTGAAATCAACACAGCCTAAAGCGATGATGAGATACGAAGCTGGTGTACGGAAACATTTGAGAGGATCTTTGTAAATAGGCAGTAATAAGAGGAGGTTACTAATGACTGTTATCGGCGACAGAATCACCAGGTAGATCCCTGTGGCGAGCTGGGTGTATAGATAAAACCTTCCGTCGACGAAAGACGAATTTGATGTTGCGCTGATATTCATGACTCTTGTCGTCTTCGCAGGATCAACCGCTTCATCCAAGGAATTCTTTTAAGCTGGCGCCTGCATGGGGCGCATTCCTTTGGGATGTTGATCGATCTGTCTCAGCCGAGTTTTCCAACAATTGTGCTCTTTTAAACTCGCTAATTGTAAGCTTACGTAAAGTCCTTCCGTACTGGTAATATGAGCTAGTTTTGAATTACATCAGGAAAAGCGGATGGACTGGAAGACGGCGGCATTTGAAGTATGCATTGGAAAGGCGAAATGAACCGCAGACAGACAACCTTAAATGTTCGTGGGTGCGTGATGTCAGTTATTTAGATCTTTGTACAATTCTTCTTGAATAAGATTTTATACTCTGAGGGCAGCCAGACTATTTTAATTCTAATTTACTTTAACACACAAAAGTATTACCGAGAAACTCTAAAATATTATTAATTACTTATTCTTGCGGTGTGTTAATTTTATTTTTATGACCTCCATTGCAGTGAACAAATTGTAAAGCATATTAATGAGTATTCACTTCGTTATTCGCTTAATGATACACATATTTCAATGCCTTGTATAAGTGACATTTTCCTTTTCCTTCTGATTCATCAACATCTCCAATCAAGCAAGTCTATTGCTACTGCCCGTTATTCGATACAGAGCTGGCTTCACGCTAAATGGAAGAGAAAATGTTTACGATTTTCACATGCTGCCCCAGATCAAACAGGCATTGAAAGACGATATTTAATGCGTCTGAATTAGATAAGCGTATTTATTCATGAGCTATTCATGAACTTCAACAACCGTAAATTATATTTTTGTCAGACGTGTAAATCAAGTGAGGCTAGGTATGCTACGGTAATTTGGTTTAGTTTTCCGAGCTCTCGCCCATCTACGGCCTCGACAGGGAATCTATGCTTCTTATCTTTGAAGCTATTTTTGGTTTTTTATTGTCCTATTTTCTTATTGTCCTTTGGGTGAAATTAAAAAAGGCGATCCCAAACGGAAGGTTTATACTCATAGCATCGAAAGTAAACCATAAAAAATTATTCGATTTCGACACGGCCTTAAAATTGCGATCGTGTCTAACCTTTTGAAAGTAAATCAACTTCTCAGATACGGGTTTATCAACTGAATCCACTTTGCAGATACGTAACTCGTTCACGGTCCAGTGCTCAGGACGAAATACGCCATCCAATTCAGACACATTGAATATTCGTCTTTCATAGTCCCTTTGATCTGGATCAGCAGTGAAAGTCACAACTACTTTCGAGTGTGAAAGCTAACTGTGTTTTGATATTCTTCGGGCATTTTGAGATGTCGAACATGTGGATAGTGATTGGAAGCTCTTTTTTTTTTTGCAGTTTTCCTGTTTAGTGTTTGGGTTGTCATTACCAAGCCTAATTCAGTTCTTGAGCTTGAGGAGAACGGGTCATCTGATAGCAGTTTATCGTTCTCTAAACACCCGAAAATGGTTTGCACTTTACAAGGATTTGACTCATTTGAAGCCGCTCCCTCATTGGAGTCTGTGAAGGCTTTATCAACGGAATGGGACCGAGATCTCACTTTCAGTGGCTTGGCAATAGTTTCAAAACTGGCCAATGCTTGTCAATCACTAGTTGATGTGGGGAAGGCTCGGAGTTCAAGTCAACAAAATTGTGCTTATCGCGATAAAGGAGGATTTTGCCACAACATGTTCGTTGTGCGAGCTAATAGTAAAAGCGCAGCACACTGGATACTCTATGATGATATTTTCTTCCAATCCATGGCTGCTCGAGAGAAATTGTAGCGTAAAAACGGCGGATAAGCTACTAATTCCTGTTGTCTATGGCGACCATTGTCAAAATTCGACACGCTTTAACGAAAAGATTGAAATGTATTCTATATTTTCAGCTGCAGACCAAACAGATGTTCATGTGAGAGTTTCAGAAGTCTCACATGATCTCAAAACGATGGCAAAGTATTTGGAGAAACTTTACTTTTGGTTTCGTCTTGGGTCCAATTATCACATTGGAATGGCTCCGACGAAAAAGAAAGCTCTGTTGGGCGACAACGGCGCTAGTTGACGAGGAGTCTGGTAACGAAGAAATAGTTGAGGAGAGTCGAAGACATTATCTCCAACTCGGGACAAATGCGTATATTGAAGGTGAATTGCGACCCCTAAACTGCGCTACGAGTAACACTCGAACTGATTGTGAATTGACAATAGGTGACAACATGCGTAGTTTAAGAATTACAGTGCAAAGTTTAAAGAGGGTCTTTCGAAGAATTATTTGCCACCTACCAATTGGTCTTGGTTATGTGGTTCTCACTCTGGTAGCGCTCCCTGTAGGTATATCAAGTGGGGATTATCTTTTTTTTCGATTTGATGAGAATGAAGAAAAGCGCCAAAATAATTTCTGGGATGTTCTTCTGCCAAAAAATTCAGCGGCTCTGATATCATACTTTGTCACTGTATATTGGCCAGTCGTTCAAATCTTTAGTTTTCTCATGTTCAGTAGGTTCGCTTGCAAGAGAACCTGGACTGTTTCAACGAACCTTTCAAAGGTTATCAGGAGTGATTGGTTTTCATCCAACATGTATTTGCTTGTTCTTTGCGTGATCATACCGTATTGTACGTATGGGTCCAAAAAACAAATATGTAATAATTCACACGTTGATTGGCAGTTTTTCTATTTTACAGTGTGCAATGTTATGTACACAGTTTCCAATTTTCTTTTTATTATCATCCTCAACAAACACAAAGTTGTCACAAGGTATGTGTTCTACATCAGTGTTTGTATGATCTGTGCTTATGTTGAAAGTGACATAGTAGCTGTGTTTTATTTCATCCTCAATTCTCAAGGCGCCCTGAACAACTTAAAACTCACCGTTCTTCGCACTGGAGCACTTGGCCTCACTTTGACTTTGAGTTTCAGTTCTTCAATGCACATAATCGGCAAACTTATGAAGCCACAGGAGTCTGTATTCGAGGGACTGTCAGAGAAGTGAGTCACGGTTTTTCAATGGGATTAGGTAAGCAGAATCTCTTGCCATCCTTCAGTACCAGTTTTCAAATAATCTACGTGACAAAGTTTAACGTGAGCTAGACCAAAAATTCCATTGTTCTTTCCAGAAAATAGAACTTTTCCGAAACTGAGTCGTGTTATTGAGCAGGGTTATGCCACTTTTGTACAGCCTCGTCAAGAAAAGAGCATCGAAATTCTTTGAGTAGCTGTTAACAGCTGTAATTTAGAACAATGCCGTTACCAACCAAATAATTGGTATAGGTAATTTTGGTGAAAAATATAGAGGATTTGTAAACTTGGTAATACGTGGTGGCGCGTGAAAATTACCCATTTATAAAGTTATAGAGGTAGCTTTCATAGAAAATGCTGATAGACCAGTCGCAATGTGACAGGAATATTCTATATCAGAACCTATTATTTTTTCTCAGTTTGACTTTGTTAGCTTTTGACTACAAATCTTAATAATTTAGCAACATGTCATTTATTTTTATGACTGATGTCAAGTAATGATTATATTACAATTGATTGCTTACTGATTAGCCTCTTTTGGTAAAAGAAAATGTATCTTTGTTAATTTCGACGGAATTAAAAGTTATGTGTTTTTTGTCATTGTACCCCATGAATCTGTTGATGGCTCCACTGTCTGTTGTGATACAATTTATTGCACTCCCACCCTTACTGAGCTTTGTTTGTCTTCAGTTGACGTGAAACATAAAGTGCCAACATATTTACTATTTCAAGTTTCCAGACTTTGATATAATGGCACTTAATAAATTTACATGAACTATTTTCTGTTGATATAATACCCCAAGAGTAGGCATAATTCCAGCTTTGAGGACATGTGACTAACAACCGAATAAAACCTTTTTATCAAAACTGACGTGTGAGTTAAAAAGGTTGAAAACATGTTTTGACTGAGAGAAGGTGAAAAAAGGAATTCGAAAGAGAGAATTCGGGAGAACTATTTCAAAATGCCATCTGATCACAAACATCTCCTGAACATCACGCTGATATCTCCCAGTTGAGCAGTCGTGTAGATCATAATGAAACATCGATCGGAAAATCCAATTTGACAATACCGAACCGAGAATCGTACTTAACCTCTGTTTTCATCTATACATCAAAAAACAGCCTTTGAATACTCAAAAGATACTTTACAATTACAATTTCAGCTTCAATTTTTAGATTCTACTTAATCAGAGTCAGATGATTGAAATAAAGTGTCACGCATTCTGTTTAGCACATACAAGAAAACCAGGAGCGGCTTCTTACACATGTCGGGAAAAAGCTTTGTGACAATTAGCTGCTTCTGCTTCTCCACGTTAACCACCTTTTCAAAAAAGTTCGGTTGGAAAAGCAACGGTTTCTAGTCGTAATAAAGGGGGTAAGTCTCTAAAGAAACCGTGGTGCTGCGTCTGTGGAAGGGCATGACAGGGTAATTTATGTTTATCTTATTTAGAGTTGTTGCCCTTCGCCAGAGCGATTGAATCGCTCTGGCGAGCTCGAAACTTCAGCTCTTTTAAAGGTGTTCGTGAGTGCGTGACGTCAGTTATACAGATATTTATTCAATCGTTCTTGAATAAGATTCCGTATTCTAAGGGCAACCAGACTATTTTGATTTTTTTTAACTCTTAGGTACAAAGATATTGCCAAGCAACTCTAAGCAGTTACTGCTGCGTCAGTCAACTTATCATGAGAATTCAGTGCAAAGTAATGTACTGCCACTACGTTACGATCAACATAAACACAAATCATACATGCAATAATGAAGAACACAAAACTTGTGTCATCATGGTACTTGTTAAGAAGGATGATGATACAAAGACAATTACAGACTGTACTAATTGTGTTGTAAATAGAAAATAGTTAAATTGACCTGTAAAAAGACAATTCTCTTCGTTAACCGTGGAGTTATATGGTTCCACAAAGCACAAAGTAGATCATTTTCAATGCAAACCAGTCACTTTAATTTGGATCAGCTTTGGAAAGTTTGCATGACCCCTCCAGGTAGCCTCACAGGCAAGCCGACTGTACATAAGGAAACACAATGCTTGAAGAGGCGACCACCATAGACACTCAAAAAATGCTTTTCCTTTCGGGTCAGATCTGAGGTCATCCCAGAATTTTTTCTCCTTCATTAAATCGAAAGTGGGAGAATCCTGCGCTGGATATTCACACGGGAACTGTTACTGCTACGAGGATCACGCAATTAAAGTAGAGAGCCACTTCTGCGACGCTGAGGTTCACCAATGAGCTCGCTAATCGGCTTGCAGCAGCCAGAAAACTATTGCTTACGGTTGCTATATCACCTCTCGTCAACTTTCTGATAAAATGTCACGTAACAGTCAAGTTTGTTCGTTCGTCTGTGTCAAACAAGCGTGATTATTGGGCCCAGATAAAACCGACTCTACAAGGCAATTATCCGAATACAATATAGTGTAAATGAGATTCGGCTTTTCTGATAACCAACGATAAACTGCATTTTTCGATCAATTTGTGCTGTTTGACACCTTATGTTTCCCTTGCTCAAGACGACTGTTTTTGGCTAATTTATAATCGCATGAGCCTGATTATATTACAATGTATCCCGCTGGGGATACAATTTGGACAGGATGTCAAAGTTGAATCACGAGGAGAATACATTTAATGAATGCGATCAAAGTCTAAGTTTTTCACGTGATTAGAATGTGACTGGGACCGGTGGTGTAATTATGCGTGTGATTTTTTTAAACTCTCCCTCCCTGAAGTTTTCGGCGCGATTCCAGACAGTATTAAGGTTGATTTGTTGCTTGTTCTCCACTAGCTCTTAAAAAACACAGTGGAACAGTCTGTGGTCGAAAAATAACTCGTTTCTTTTTATCGAAAGAAATGGAAAAAAAAAAAAAAAATCGGTGGAGCTGAAGGACTCCGAAATTACGGTAGGTCAAAGGTAAATCTGCAGTGTTTACAAGAAATAAATATGCTCTGCTATGAACGCTCATCGTTTTCTAGTGTCTATCATGTTCGTCCTCTGGATGTATAACAAAGCACTTAATGCCGGCTTGAATTCTCGCGAAACAGTTAGTTTTGTTTTCCCTCGGGTCCCAATGTTTCCCTTAACTTCGTCTCGGAAATATTGAGACCCCTGGCAAAAGAAAACTAACTGTTTCCCTCAGGAGCAGACGTTAAGAGAATAACAATCGATTAATTATTGCTGATTGCTTCTGGAGAGTCATCGTTATAAGTATCGGAACGTTTGAAAAAGGCCTCTCCAAGTTTCTAGTTTTAATCACTAAAACCTAGAACTAAAACAGGGGTTAATTAGAACTTAGAGAGATTAGAGACTGTTTGCTAGAAATGGCAGCCAATTAAATCGTCTTATTTGTACAATGTATGCAAATAACAGGTAATTTAGTGTTAACAACTGGGTTGAAAACGTAAATTAGCCACCGTAAGGCAGCTTTTTTACCCTTTTACGGTGGCTAATTTACGTTTTCAACCCAGTTGTTAACACTAAATTACCTGCTATACTCTCCCACCGACGCAGCACCACAGTTTCTTTAGAAACTTACCCCTATATGCAAATAACAGATGTCTTCTCCTGATGACAAATTATTCTAGACTTCATTTTTCTCACGAGGTGATATTGTAACCATCGTAAACTAGAATTTTGTGTCTTTGGGTAAAAACACCTTCAAGAAAAGCGGTCGCAAAGAGATCTGTATAGTGTTAGTAGCGATTGTCAGATAAACCATCCAAAATATGTTTCGATTTGAACACGGTCTAGTGCTTGTAGTTCCGGCTAACCTAATTTACTGTTGATGCCTTCAGAAAAGTAATCAGTGAAGGTGCGCTAAGGCTGTTATTAGCTAAGTGTCTTCCAAACTGCAGACCACGACCTGGATGTCTGAGAATAATAATTTTTCTTCCGATGACATGTTAGCATAATTATCTCGTAAACGACTCTGATGGAGACTGATAAAGAATAACCCTGAGAGTAAAACTACAAAGTAAACAAAGCTTTCAATCACTATCAACTTTCTCGATATCTTTAAACGCCTCAAGAATGTCAAAACACAGTTGGCTCCACGCTCGATGGAAGAGAAAATGTTTATGACTTTCACAAGCTGCCCCAGATCAAACAGGCTTTGAAAGACGATATTAAATGTGTCTGAATTAGATGGCCTATTTATTCATGAGCTACTCATGAGCTTCAACGAACGAAAACTATACTTTTTGTCTTTGATGCTATTTTTGGCTTGTTATTGTCCCATTGTCCTTTGGGTGAAAGGCAGTCGCAAACGAAATGTTTATTTATACTCATAGTAACGAAAGTAAACCATGAAAACCGTCAATCACGGCCGTAAAATTGCAGTCGTGTCTAACCTTTTGAAAGTAAATCAACTGCTCGAATAAATTTCATTGGGGTGTGCATTTATCAACAGAATCCCCTTTGCAGATTCGTAATTCATTCACGGTCTGATGCTCATGACGAAATACGTCATTCAATTCAGAGACAATGAATACTCGTTTTTCAACGTCCCTTTGATCTGGGTCAGCAGAGAAAGTCACAACTACTTTCGAGCGTGAAAGCTGACTGTTTTTTTGACCTTCTTTAGGCGTTTTAAGATGTCGAACAAATGGATAGTGATTGGAGGCTCTGTTTGCTTTGTAGTTTTCCTGTTTAGTGTATGGTTTGTCTTTACCTATCTTCCTGCACTTAATGAGCTTAAGAAGATGGAGTCATCTGAAGGCAGTTTATCGTTCTCAAACTACCCGAACATGGTTTGCACTTTAGGACAGGACTTTCTTAAAGCCACTCCCTCACTGGAATCTTTTCTGAAGGCTTTAACAACGGAAGAGAACCAAGATCTCACTTTCAGTGGTTTGGCAGTAGTTTCAAAAATGGCTAATTCTTGTCAGCCATTAGTTGATGTGGGAAGGGCAAGAGTTCAACTCAACAAAATAGCGCTTATCGCGATAAAGAAGGATTTTGCCACAACATGTTCGTTGTGCGATGTGGCAGAAAGAGCGCAGCACGCTGGATACTCTATGGGGATATTTTCTTCTAATCCACGGCTGCTCGAGAGAAATTGTAGCGTAAAAACGGCAGATAAGCTACTAATTCCTGTTGTTTATGGCAAACTGTGTCAAAACACGTCATACGATTTACAGCTTAATAAAGAGTATAATGAAAACATGTGTTCTGTATTTTCAGCTGCAGACTTAAAAGATGTTCATGTGAGAGTTTCAGCTGCCTCAAAGGACCTCGAAACGATGGAAAAGTATTTGGAGAAACTTTACTTCTGGTTTCTCTTGGGTCCAATTATCACATTGGAATGGCTCCGACGAAAAAGGAAGCTTTGTTGTGCGACAACGGCGTCAGTCGACGAGGAGTCTGGTAACGAGGGAGTAGCTGAAGAGAGTCGAGAACATTATATCCAACCCGAGACAAGTGCGGATAATGAAGGTGAATTACGACCTCTAATCCGCGCTGAGAGTAACACTCGAACTGATTATGATTCGACAATAAGTAATAACATGCGTATTTTAAGAATGATAGAGCGTATAACGAAGGTATTTCGAATAATTATTCGCTACCTACCAGTTGGTCTTGTTTACGTGCTTCTCACTCTGGCAGCGCTCCCTGTAGGTATATCAAGTGGGGGATTATCTTTTTTTCGATTTGATGAAAACGAAGAAAATCGACCAAGGAATTTTTGGGACGTTGCTCTGCAGGACAAGTATAGACCCAATGATGATGAAAAGAATTCCTTGAATGCTCGGATATCGTACTTTGTCACTGTATGTTGGCCAGTCGTTCAAATGTTTAGTTTTTTCATGTACAGTAGGTTTGCTTGTAAGAGAACCTGGACCGTTTCAACGAACCTTTCAAAGCTTATCAGAAGTGATTGGTTTTCATCCAACATGTACTTGCTCGTTCTTTGCGTGATCATACCGTATAGTACGTATAGGTCCAAAAAACAAATACGGAATATTAATAATTCAGGCGCCGATTGGCAGTTTTTCTATTTTACAGTGTGCAATGTTATGTACACAGTTTCCAATTTTCTTTTTATTATCATCCTCAACAAACACAAAGTTGTCACAAGGTATGTGTTCTACATCAGTGTTTGTATGATCTGTGCTTATGTTGAAAGTGACATAGTAGCTGTGTTTTATTTCATCCTCAATTCTCAAGGCGCCCTGAACAACTTAAAACTCACCGTTCTTCGCACTGGAGCACTTGGCCTCACTTTGACTTTGAGTTTCAGTTCTTCAATGCACATAATCCGCAAACTGATGAAGCCACAGGAGTCTGTATTCGAGGGACTGTCAGAGAAATGAGTCACGGTTTTTTAATTGGATTAGTAAGCAGAATCTCTTGCCATCCTTCAGTACCAGTTTTCAAATAATCTAAGTGACAATTCCATTGGTCTTTCCAGAAAATAGGACTTTTCCGAAACTGAGTCGTGTTATTGAGCAGTGTTATGCCACTTTTGTACAGCCTCGTCAAGAAAAGAGCATTGAAATTCTTTGAGTAGCTGTTAACAGCTGTAATTTAGAACAATGCCGTTACCAACCAAATAATTCGTGTAGGTAATTTTGGTGAAATATACAAAGGATTTGTAAAGTTGGTAATATGTGATAGCGCTGTTTACAATATTTAACATTTCACTGAAATGTGTAAATGATAATTGAAGAAATCACTCAGATATTAACTCATCCAGTAGTAGTATATCTCTTATGTGTTAGCTTTTGACGGAAATCTTAAAAAATGTACCGAAATATCACATTTTTTATAAGGATTGATATCATCAAATGATTACATCACAACATAGAAAACCAATAAGTCCAGATAGGGTCCTTTAGTTCAAACGTTTTCCTGAAATAGAAGACATATGCCTCAGGAAGTCTTTAAAAGCTGGTTTGGAACCTTGTTCTTCATCAGTGATCAAACATTTTGACTCGGTAAATTTTTTCCCCGCTATTAAGTCGAAAACATTATAGGAATATTGTGTGTTGGAATCGTTAGAAATGGTGCTTGTGACAAAACTGTGTCTCATAAAATTTTTTTTTCTTTATTTGCATCATGATATTTTAAATGGTGTGAGTGTCTTATATGATAGCACTGCTCACCAGCTAAATAATTGGTAGAAGTAATTTTGGTAAAATGTACGTTGGATATGTAATCTTGGCATTATATGGTAGCCATGTTTAGATTTTTCATTATTTTACTGAACTGTTAATATGAAAACCGTAAAAATTACTCATTTATAAAGTTATACAGATTGAAGTCGCTTTCATAGAAAATGCCGCAAGACCAGTATGACAGGAATATTCTATATCAAAACCAATTATTTTTTCTCAGTTTGACTCTGAATTGCTAGCTTTTGATTATAAATCTTGATAATTTAGCAACATGTCATTTATTTTTATGACTGATGTCAAGTAATTATTATATTACAATTGATTGCTTACTGATTAGCCTCTTTTGGTTAAAGAAAAATGTATCTTTGTTAATTTCGACGTAATTAAAAGATGTGTGTTTTTTGTCATAGTACCCCATGAATCTGTTGATGGCTCCACTGTCTGTTCTGATACAATTTATTGCATGCACTCCCACCCTTACTGAGCTTTGTTTGTCTTCAGTTGACGTGAAACATAAAGTGCCAACCATTTAATATTTCAAGTTTCCAGTCTCTGATATAATGGCACTTAATTAGTTTACACAAACTATTTTCTGTTGATATAATACCCCAAGAGTAGGCATAATTGCAGCTTTGAGGACATGTGACTAACAACCTAATAAATCTTCTGACTAAAACTGATATGTGAGTTAAAAAGGTTGAAAAAATGTTTTGACTGAGAGGGTTGAAAAAGGAATTCGAAAAAGAGAATTCGGGAGAACAACCTCAAAATGCTATCTGATAACAAGCATCTCCTGAACATCACGCTAATATCTCCCAGTTGAGCCGTCGTGTAGATCATAAAAAATATCGGAAAATTCAATTTTACAATACCGAACCAAGAATCTTAACCCATAAACAAACCAGTTAAAAAATTCAAAAATTGTCCACATTCAGTTTTTAATTCATATCTCAACAAATATTTACAGGAAAAACACCTACAATATCTCATTTTAAAGTGTATAAAATAAGCCTCTCAGGAAAATAAATAAATTTCATTATTGAAACCCAGGACTTTCCTAAAAATAAAATTTAAAAGACAAAATAAGTAAGACATTGTGTAAAACTTGAGGTTAAAGTCACTTTTCCTCACAGGTAAAGGTTACTTAAGATCAATTGATAACAGAAGTAAATCATTAACATGTCAGCAACATTTCCTTAAAATCTGAAAGAAAAAGAATGAATAATTAATTTTTTATGAATTTTTATGTGCACCCATGTCATTCAAAAAAGTAAACAGAAAAAAAAAATTGTTAGGAAATTCGACTTTATAACAGGAGGATGAGTAGGCCCTGATGTGTAACTGAGTGAATGAATTTGCCTTTTAACATCCCTACTAACTAATGAGAGTCCTCTTCGAGAAAACTAGGGCTAAATCATAACTATTCCCACTGACAAAGATAAAAGCAACAAGGTAAAAAAAAATTATTATTTTTTTAGATATTTTTCATTTTCAATTTTTTTTTGGTATTTCTGAGAAACACAACATCTGAAAACATTGGAATAAACATCAGCAAAATGTTCTATGTATGGGAAATATGGTACACCAAAAATATACCACAGGTATATTTTATTCCTTTCAAAACATTTACTCACCAAAAGGAGCGGCAGAACTCACAGGGGGAATTGGACTGGCAGCAGCAGAAGGAGCAGAAGAGCCAGCAACTACACATTCAAACAAAAATATAATTTTCAATGAATAAAACAATTATCCGCAACATTTATAGAATAATATCCTAAACAAATTCAGGTTATTCTATAGTATACGCATTCGAAAATTATACTTGCTGTTCTAAATTTTGCAGGTTGGAAATATTTCACTCACTAGGAGCCATGGGTTCCTTAGTGGAAGCGCTAGCCTCCTTCGGCCGCTCGTCATCTCCAACTTCTCCCTCGCTTAAAATATCAAATGTACAATATTTATATTCCATAAAATACTCAAAATTAACCAAACGAACAAGCGATACTGTACTAATTTAAAAATCGCCGACGAGTCAAGCAACCGACGCAACTGAAAAATGCATTTCTCCATGGCAACAAATAGCAGCTGATCGAATTACGCGTCTAATTTTACTTGTGCAAATAGATTGAATCGCATTGCATCTCATCGCTAAAAACACACTCTAAGCGTAAATTATTGATTTTCAGAGTCGCAAAAATAAACTTGTGATCAAATTTCAAGAACTACGCGAGAAATCAACCACAAAAAGGCAACCTGAGGCGTAAAACTTCGCCTTTCAAGACAACATGTTCGATGGCGATCATTTCGTAATGGCCATTATTGACTTCTCACCTCGATCCCCACTCTCATTTTCCGCCTGCCGGTCCAGATCACTTTCTCCTCCACTGTCCATCACATCAGCGGAGTCTTCATCGTCAAATATCTTTTCCAAAGCCATTTCAGCGGAGATAAAGCACGCTTAGACGATGAGGCCATCTTCGACGATGAAATTTTACCACTAAAATAAGTGTTGTGTAGTACACATTTAACTGTCGCCCTCCAAACTCGCTACATGATTTGTTTAACATTTCAACGTCATACACACCAAATTTGGAAAGAATCGAAGGTAACGCAATATTCTACGAGACTAGCGGAAATGATGGGTGGAATTCCACCCATAAGCGAGGGGGTTGCCGCGATAGGTAACCTCTTGTTTTTATCTATACATCAAAAAAACAGCCTTTGAATACTCAAAAGATACTTTACAATGACAATTTCAGCTTCAATTCTTAGATTCTACCTAATCAGAATAATGATTGAAATAAAGTGTAACGCATTCTGTTCAGCACAGAAAAACAAGGAGCGGCTTCTTACACATTTCGGGAAAAAGCTTTGTGACAATTAGCTGCTTCTGCTTCTCCACGTTAACCACCCTTTCAATATAGTTCGTTTGGAAAACCAGCGGTTTCTAGTCGTAATAAAGGAAGTAAGTTTCTAAAGAAACCGTGGTGCTGCGTCGGTGGAAGGGTATGACAGGGAAATTTATGTTTATCTAATTTAGAGTTGTCGCCCTTCGTCAGAGCGATTGAATCGCTCTGGCGAGCTCGAAATTTAAACTCTTTACGGTGGCCAGTTTTCGTTATCAACTCAGTTTGGTTACCTCGGAGGGGAGAATGCCCGACTTTATTTCGACAAGCAGGAGGTCTTCATTTTTATTGGATATCAGGCACTCAAGAGAGCGGTGATTATTACCGCCGAGGGGGGGTGGGCGGGGGGGGGGGTAAATTTACCAGATCCCCACATAAGGTTTTGCAATATTCCTCACTGGCTTTTAAATTGCAGTTCATTTTTCCCTTTGCAAACCTTGTGATCCCCCCCCCCTCCCTATAAAAATTCTCCTTCCCTAGGCGATAGGCGAGCTGACTGGTCCCTAAAATAGTACACTTGCTATTCTCAAAAACCTGAGATGTCAGCCGGGACAACAAGCGTTTTATTACAGTGCTGTGACTGTTCCCTTATTAAATGGTAACTGCAGTATAGGAAGAACGAAAATACCGGCCATGTGAAGCATACTTGTGGGAGTCCTTATGTGTTATCAGTTGATTCTTTATTGGCACCGCTTAAGGTCTAAGACTAAAGTTACAATGTTATGTATCCGACACAGACAAACCAGGTGCACCTCTTGAGATCCATTCGACCTCCTCAACTATAGAGCTATGTTCTGAAAAAATAAAACAGGAAATCAATTCTAATAGTTGTATTATGTGAACAAAAGATTCGTTCCTGATCTTCTTTTACCGTCCATAATACAACCGATAGGTAACGATCAGAAACCTCCCTTTCCTCTGTTTCTACACAAGTTATGAGAATACATATAGTACTACGATAACTCGTTTTTAATAACCTTAATTGTCTTCCTTTCACAAAGCATTCGTTAATAAACGGAAACACTTCTAGTTACACATTCAGATATTCAAAAACAGAGACTCAATATTCCAGCTTACCCTCGATTTGTACAAAGTACTCAAGAAAACCTGTGGGTAACAGACTTTTACGGTTAGGAAAATAGGGAATGGAATACTATAGAGTCCAGCTTTAGGGAGAAGGCATCAGTTGCTAGTTTTAAGCGCAATTTGTACGTGAAATTTTTAAATGAATAGAGAGCTTCTCCTGGACTTCAAATGTGATTTTTGCTTAATTGTCCTAACTGTAAAAACGAGTTTAAGCTGGAATATCTTATCTCTCGATTGTGGATATCCGAATATGTGATTAGAATTCTGTTTATGTAACTAGGGGTCATTTTGATACAGGAAACGTTTTTGTACTTTTTCATTTTTGATAAGATATTTATTTTTAAGTTTTTAACCTTGCGCTGTATATAGCTTTTGAAATTTTATAATACCGATTTCTTAGGTCTTTTTAATAATATTGCAATGACGGTAACGAGTTTATCAGTGTTTTACTACTGTTCAATGTAACCCTCTTAAAATAATGTCTTTACTTACTTTCTTAATTACTTACTTACTTACCGACAACTGCCATTTCTCAATTATTTAGTTAATGAAAATGTATCATTAAACCCTTCAAACCTGACTTCGATTAAAGAAAAATGTGTTCGTGTTTACAGAAGTTTTCTATCTGGTCAGCCATTTTGGCTCCAGCGCATTCGGATATAATGTTCATCCCCTATGTGACTATGTCAGTGTGTGTTACCTCTTACAGTAAGTCTGCCTATGGGACTCAGTGACGCACACTGATAAAGATGCTAGTCCCGATTTTTGTGGCATGAAATGACACAGAGTATTTTAATCCTTTTGTTAGTGACATTAGTTCATAACTAGGTTACCCTAAAATGTTTCAGCAGATTTCCCTGACAGTTTTCCGATACTGCGAGATACAGTGGACAAATGGTCAGTGCACTGGACTATGGGTGGAGAGGTCTGGGTTCGAGACCTGGCTGCGTCAATGTGATGTGTTAATGAGTAAGACGCTTTCCACTCACCATGCCTCTCTCCCTCCCGGAGTATAAATGGGGACCGGAAAATTGTCAGGGAAGCCTGATGAAATGTTGGTGGGTAACCTTGCGATGGACCAGTACTTCCTCCAGGGGGAGAGAAGGAATACTCCCAGTCGTTCCATGCTACATGGAAACCGGGATAAGCTCCGCCTGGGTGGACCGCTTGGTTGGAGACTTACAGACTTACTATATCCGTTAAATTTACGGGTGTAATGAGGCGCTACAATTGGTACTAACACATAAATGAAGACTTTACCTATGAGGCCAAAGGCAGCACGTTCTCCGCGAAGCGTCCTTTAATATTTCCTTGTGGTGAGTAGCGCGCCACGACGTAAGTCTTGGTGTATCCGCCATCCACTACTTTCGCAAGAGCCGCTCCCACACGAGTGGTGCTTTTCCAAACCACCTGCAAAATTAATTTCAGTGACGCAAAGTTGATTAATTTCAGACAAAATTTTGTAATTTCCTAATTAAAAAAAAAAAAGGAAAAAGAGAAAAGGTGTAATTAATTTAATAATAAGCCTCACTGATTTTTATGCATTTAATATTTTAGGAAATGCCAAAGTGTGTAGAGTTTTAAAAGGGAAAACGGTTTTTTTTTTCATATTTAGACACCAATTTCCCTAGAGTTATCTTTAGACATTTAAATTGTGACATTGTCAACTTGAAGGCCGCAAGTTTTTCATTTTTTAACTGGTTGTCGTCGTCCTTTGTAAATAAATTTAATACACACATACATTTGAAGTACATAGATAAAAAGACCACTTTCTTCTTACCAAAAATAGAGAAACTGGAAAATAACATCATTGGATATAAATAATGGCATTATCTGTGATCGTTGTAGAAAAGCAACGTAAACAACCATTTGGACTCACCCAAACCAACTTCGTGTTTGAATCAGCATGCTATTTGACAACTGAGTACCCACAGCTGAGAACAAACACAACTTACCGCGGTGAAATGGCCAGTACTAAGACTGAAAACAGGATTTTGGTAATCATAGTCCTTGATTTCATCGTACCTGTGATTGCAAGATCAACACAGAAGCCTAATTTTCATAGGCAGCTTAAGCGAAAGACGGAGTCCAGAAAGACGTAGAGCGAGAAGAAAGAGCGCAAGATTTGATGAGGGATTCTACGTTATGGCTAATATTCATTTCTTTGAATGTAAATCGATAAGATAATTTGATTGTAGATAAAAACAACATCCATAATCCGATAATTTCATCTGATGTCATCACCTTTAAAATTTACTAAGAAGAAGCAACATTTTTATCAGTAATATCCGGACTAAAAATAATCTGTTGCAGTTAACCATTCGTCAAAGATATATTCACTACGAAGTCAATATTAACTGACGATAATATTTCGCTATCTTGGCGCAAGGGAGGACTGTAAATAGAGGTCCAATCGAGTGGGGTTCATTAAACGGAAAGTTACTTACCAAGCCTGCACTGCATCATCACATGTCGCCACATATGAGCCCGAAGTCCCAAAATAATAAAGGTTTTCTCCTTCTCCAGTGTTTTCTGCGTGCTCCAGCGTTCCCTTGGAAGCCAGGTGATCAGCCCAGGTTTTAGCATGTTGAGCCAGTGTATCATCCCAGACCAGCATTGGAGTTCCAGGGTGAAGTGCTCGTTTTTCATTATGGGCTTTCAGGCAGGCATCAGGGTCCACTACATGAGCAAACAAAAACAAAAATGATTCGAATACCATATTGAAAATGATCAAAGACGTCAAAGTCTCTGAAAATGTGCGTGGGAATTATCAACACTAATCAGTAGTGGTTATGCAGAGTTCTGCGGACACAAGAGATTAAATACTTTTTATAATATCGTGGCGGAACAAATTACGAGACTATGTGCTATGGTTACTTTGATACAAGACATTGTTAAATTTACTAGCAAAAGCAATGCTGAAAGCACATTTTCTGTCAGGTTTTCACCTTAAAACTTGAAGTAAATGTCATTGTCTATCGTACACTGGAAAGTGAGGTGAAAATCAAAGTTTTATTTTAACCTATCGTTTTTGTCTCATAATGTTACCATCTTCAATATGGTGTCTGCATCGTGAGATAAGTAACAATCACAACTTTTAAGGCATCAATCAATTTTCTTTTCTATTTCTCTCTCCAATCCTCTTTTGGCTCATTCTCGAGCAAAAGTGTTTAATGAACACGATTAGGACTGATGTTTGCTAATTTTCTCTGCTGGGATATTGCGCAGCTCTGTGTTAGTACGTCTGTAAATGAACAGTGTTTTTCTCCGTGTCCGTTTGTCTACCTCTTCACCTATCTCTGTGCGTTTATTTACGATCATGAAAAAAAAGCACCATACAAGTACGAAGAGTGACACATAAGAGTGCGTTCGCATTATCAGTCCAAGACAGGGAGAAAATGGCTCTTCATGCAATTCAAAAAATCAGTAATTTCCGTATGTATTCGAACGTTACTCTCATTCAGTCATATGTTACCTGTATGTCACTCATAGGACTTATGTGGTATTTTAGTCACGATCTTTATTTTTGCTTTCTATCAAATGTTTGTCCGTGTGCTTGTCAGGCTGTCTGCCTGTCAGACTGCCAGTCTATCTGGTTGTCTGTCTGTCTATCGGTCTGTCAGTCTGTCTGTCAGTTTTTTTGTCAGTCTGTCAGTCTATTTGTCAGTCACTTTGTCTGCCTGTCTGTCTGTCTGTCTGCCTGTCAGTCTATCAGGCTGTCAGTCTATCAGGCTGTCAGTCTGTCTGTCTGTCTGCCCGTCTCTCTGTTGGTCTATCTGTCAGTCTGTTCTTCAGTCTAACCGTCAGTCTGTCTGTCTGTTTGTCGATCTGTCTATCTGTCTGTATGTCTTTCTGTCAGTCTATCCATCATTCTGTCAGTCTATCTGTCATTCTGTCTGTCTGTCTCTCCGTCAGCCTATCTGTCGGTTAGTTTGTCTGTCAGCTGCCTATCAGTCTTCCTGTCAGTCTGCCTGTCAGTCTTCCTGTCAGTCTGCCTGCCAGTCTTCCTGTCATTCAATCTTTTCTGTCAGTCTGTCTGTCTGTCGGTCTATCTTTCTATTTGCCAGTCGGTTTGTCTTTTTCTCTACATACCACAGTGACTGGCTGGATAAAACTTACCTTGTGGGGCTGGCGCTGAAACACAAATTAAGAAAAAATGTTAAACGACAAAGCTTAGCGTAGGAACAATAAAATATGTGTATGGGTTCACTTATCAGTTTTGATAGGCCTTATTTATTGTAGCTCGTTACCATTTTCCTACATTGGTGGTTTAATCTTCTGAATCTTCTCTCCTTTTAATTCAATTTAATAATAGATTTAAACAACTTCCCCTATATCAAATAAGACAATTGAGTAATAAGTCTAATGTTTCATAAGCCTCTTGCCAAGTGTTATCGTGCTTAGTTATTTTTGCCAGCATCAGTTATTGAATGTTGGATATTATGAAAGGGATGGGAATTCTGGTCTGAAATTCTAAATAAAGCCTGTTGCATCACAAACCAAGCAAAGGCAGCGCAGATCACTACGTTTTGTCGCATACTTCACGAAAAGAGGAGGGGCAGGAAATTTCAGCAGCCTTTTAATGCAATGACGATTCAAGCAACGGTTGCGAGGAAAAGTGCGTTACGCTTTCTTTTACATATATACGGTCTAGGACTTTAACCAGTTGTAATCTGTTCTTACTAGCTCTTGGAGGTGACGTTGGAGGCGCTGAAACAAGAAAAAATGTTGATTAATTTAAGATCTCTATCATATTTCAACATCAAAAAAAATTATTGGATGAGGTTGAACATGATATCATGAATTATCAATGCCAAGGTCTGACTTATCTACCGAAGCCCAAGGCTGAGGCAGATAACAGAGACACGAGGTTTAATGATTCATAATTCCATGCGAAAACCTGACTTCAATAATTGGTTTATAACACACTTTTTTCAGACACTCCTCTTTGAGTTTGCAAAGGTTTGAGAAAACTACACGAATCTCGGAAGTCATTTATGTAAACAAGTCGTTTCAATGTTTTGCAAAAGTTTCTCTTAGAAACCGTAGTTTTAATAGTAATGTTTTCCTTGACGTGAAAAATTAAATTGCGAAGTAATCGGCCTCTTGGAAACGTAATAAAGAAAAAGGAAGGTAATCTGTGATAACATTGGTTTACCTATCCTTCGATGTGTAATTGGTTCGCGAAGTTGTCAGGAAATTCACGGTTGTCTCTCCAGCAATTAAAAACAGAACCAATAGCAAATTGGTTGTCCGCTTTGTACGTGTTCATGGTTGTCCCTGACATGACCATTAGATAAAGTTGGTTTCGTTTATACGTTTTAGGAACCAATCTCGGGAAACGTTCTATATGAAGCAAATGAGGAATGTCACTTACCTATACAATATCCACACGTAACATAGCAGTTTTCTTTCATAAACTGGTGATATTGGCCTTTCTTACATAACCCTTGATTTTTCCAACTTTTACATCCGTTTTTCTTATCGTTCTCATTTGCTTTGCACGCTGTGGAGAATATGCATTATGAAAAAAAGTAAAAACGACACGGTAACTCTCATATTATTTAACATTATATATGTTCCATATTCTAATGAATGATATTTATACACGCTATAAACACGGAAATTCAAATGATCCTAAGAATTTCAAAACCGGCTGAAACGAAAACGGAAATGAAACACAATTTTAAAAAAGATCACTTATAGAGGAAATCATCCAAACAACAAGAGATCTACAGAACCTGGTTCAAAATTAAGTTGTGAAATTGTCGAGTGAATGCTTCTCATATTATCAGAGGAAAAGGAAATATTATTATTATTCTATTACGCCATTTTACCATATTAAGGAAACAAAAGGCTCAATGTAAGTGACGGTACTACTATATAAAACGAGGCAAAAACACTGATGGAAAGCGGATCGACAAGATGGCCTCTCTGCACAATTCAAACGTAATTTTTTCTACCGTTTTTAAAGCTTGATGTTTTGACAAACGAAGTTTCAACCGCCTCACATTTTTTGTATGGTTTTAGAGTGGTTCTCTTTGTGCTGTTTCACCTTTTGCGCCCGCTATGTATGCGATCGATGCTATGCCCATATGATGCTGAAGCATTATCGCAAAACTAGAAGCTTAAATAATAAATATGAGAGAATATATATTGTAAACACGAACTCCAAATAAATGGAAGGCTGGGTGGTTTTCCAGCATTCTTTGTGAAGCAGGGAGCGTGTCGCTTGAGAAGTCCAAACAGCTAAGCTATGAAGGACCTTGAGTTATATTTTGTTTACAACAAATGCGGTTTGAATATTTAACAAGATTCTATTTGATCTTACGTTGTGGAGGTGGTGCTGAAAAAAGAAAAAAAGTCGATTAGTTCAAGGTCTCTGTCTTATTTCGACACCTATCTTTAGAAGTCTGTCATCTGTCTTAGTCAATAACTACGTTACTGTTGAATGGAGAGATATCACTGTGGAGGAGGGGGGGGGGGTTCCTTCCAGAAATAGGCTAATGGGGAGGTCGCATTTTCATCACTAATTTGACCCTAGTAGGGTTCAATTTTCAATGGAGTTCAAGGCTAGAATGGAGTTGCACATTTTCTAGATTTTGGGAGTAACAAAACTACGTTAGGTGGGGATTTACAAATGAGAAAATTTGTGGTAAAAAAGTGATTAAGATGGGGTATATAACCGACCACGGATGAGACTATAATAAGGTAAGGATTCTGAGAGGCTAGCAGTAACAGCTCAGCAAAAATTAACCTAAATCCTTGTTTGAATATGAAACTTATATATTAGAATCACCCTTTTTTTCAACTTCATCTATTCCTTTACACCCTAAGATCAGTGTACATATATTCTCCACACTGTTCTTAAGACATTTCCAATGCTACCGTCAAGGAGCGTTCATTTAACGATCATAATGAGCTTTTTGAGCCGGTGATCTTTTCCTTCATTCCCCTAACCTTAATGTTTGATACCGAAGTGATATTGTGTGGGGAAATTTGACGCTGTTCAATCTTAGGGATTAAATGAAGATTTAATTAGGTTTCACTTACGATCACAAAAGCCACAGCTCTCTTGACACCTCGCCTTCACGTACTCATAATCACAGTACCCACTCTGTTTCCAGTAGAGACATCCTGGATTTTTGTCCAGCTGATCTTCGGTGCAAACTGAAAATTCAAATACAGTGTAATCCTTTTATCACAAAACCTGATGAAGACCAATTAAAATGGTTCAAAATATCCCACATTTCAGAAATACAGGAAGAGATTTCAATGGTACTACCGTCAAAACAACCACACAGAAATTTCACAGGTTATGACTTGAAAATCGTAATGGCTATGAAAATTACTCAGTAAGAGACTCACTTAAAAAATTGTATGGAGCGAGTTATTCTTGCATATGCTTAGTGTACTTTCCACTTACCTGCTCTTTTTACAACTTGTTTTCCGTTCATCCTTGGCCCCGGGGCGCCATAGCAACCCACTTGGAATGTGATCAGAAACAGGCCAAGAAGTAAGTTGTACATTGCTCAGGGATAAACTGTAGATAAGAAAAAACAAAAGACACTCAGCTCTTATCTAGTATAACAAATTTGACTCGGTTTGATTTCTTAAGGGCTAAATGACTCTATTCGGACTTGTGTTCTGTGTTGTGTAGGACAAAACTAAAGAAAAAAAGGGGTTGAACTGTTCCATATTCTAAAAGAATTTCGACAAAATTTGAAATTAATCTTGTTTCAATTTTTATAGTACTCAAAATTTTCTGGTCCTACGTGAGCATGCCTCGACACAGTCGACCTTCGGCCTTGAAATAGTTATGCCACACACAGGAGATGGTGTATTTGAATCAGTGAGCGTTAGGGTGCAACTATTGCAAGACATATTACTACTTTAAGACGCTAAGGTTATCAAACTTGAAAATTGACCCGCGATATGAGAAGAATCTCTCGATCGTTTGTGTTGTGATCATTTAGGTTCGAGGAATGAGGGAAAGACCGTGGTGATAAAGTTTTTTTTTTGACATTTTATACAATACTCATATTTCACCTGCTCAGAGAAATTCACATTTCCTTCAGTTCTATCAGATAACTCATTATATCTTTTTCACAGTTAAACTCTCTTCATCTTCAAAGTTCTAAAGTATTTCAATAAAATATAAAATACCAGCTTCTCTTGGATCGACATTCGCTAAAATTGTAGCTGCTTTTAACGGTATTATATAAGAATTGCTTCTATAAAGCTTACCGCACCAGTTTTCTTGTTAAGGGAAGGATGTGGATTCAGCTTCATCGCGAGCTCAACGAAATTGTCCGCCTTATATAAGTTTTTAATTCAATAAATCTTTCATTAATCAGATCTAAATTTCGTTCATATATCCATACGTATACTGGCTTCAAACTGTTATCTTTTTTAATGAGAATAGTATTATTTTAAAACAATCAAGTGAAACTGACGCAGGTTTTACATGAGTGAGTATTATGATGAAATTGTAATATTTCCTTCTCGTCTCTAACGATCGGTCGACGAAAACTGTTCTTAAAGGAGAACCATTATCACGGAAAAAGAAAAATTATGATGATATTTAGGGTTAAATGACCAACTTAAAGTCGATGAGAATGTTTTTTTTGGAAATGAAACCGGCAGTTTTCTATCGTCTTAAAGGTGTGAATCTTGCCTTCCTGACCAGCCGTTGCCTCCGAGCTCTCACTGACAAACAATTACAATAAGACATAATATAAACATCATACTAGTCGTGACAGTTATATCTTATTAATTTTAATTTAGTTCTCCAGATTGGATTGTTTCTAAAAGTTTACTTTTCATACTGAGAGTTAAAAAAAGAAAAGAAATGAATTCGAGACAAGCTCTCCTACAGTTCCCTAATGAAACTTAATTTCATTTTATTTATCTGGAAAGTACTTCTTCGTTAAATCGTTCACAATTGAAAGCTGTCCCAGGTAGATCAATGAAAACTCTTCAACTCTAGTGAGGTATAACCACTTACACATTCGGTTTTATTTAAAGAACAACATGTTGTTAAATTTCTAAACTATTTTAATAATTCAAGATATCTGGCCAACTTTATTTGATTGCCTCACTGTGATAAAAATTAAGATCCATGTATCAGTTGTTTTATATTGTAGTTGTAGTAAACAAGATTTGAAAATGACATCATTATTATCATCATAATGCGGTACATTGTTAGACAAATTACCTAACAGTCATTTTCGTCATATCACAGGCCTGAGAAAATCCGTTGTTAAATCCTGAAATTTAGATTTGTTTCTTGTAAATTTAGTTAAATGCCAATGGTATGAAAGAAACATTTATGCCTGTTTTCGTCCAAAATTAATTTTTTAAAAAAAAACATTTTTATCTCATCCTACAAAGTTGTTTTATGCACCTCACTGCCAAGTGATACATTTTCTAAAAGCTAACTTACAGCATTATTGTAAACATCACAGATTATTAAGAACCTATATCAATTTATTTTTATCCGAGACAAATGAGATTCTTAAAAAAAATATCATATCTATATTAATTTTGAATTATGTTGTCACTGTGTATATACTGCAATTTGCAAACAATTTAACACGGTGGCC